AGGAAGCTTCTTTCTTCCATACTGTACGAAGTATATACCATGGTAATAGTAAATCCTCCTAAATTCTGATTTCCAACCTACTCCCCAGGCCCTAGACACAGCAAGGGCAGACTTTCCCTCTAGTCGCCCACAGTATCAATTCCTTATTCTTTTTTTCTATATCTCCATGCCCAGCAATACCCAAAATGTTCATTCTGTCGTTTTCAAGTTACTGTTTATGAATCCCAAGCCTATAAATCTTGATTCTGAAGAGCACGTCTTCCTCTTTTTCCAGGTTTGCATCAGCTGAGGAACTTCACTAAAAATATTCCTGACCAGAAAGTGCTTAAAGCGTGGTTTCAAGAGCCCCCTCTGCATCTGGGTATGGTCAGGTTTGTCTTCCCTCTCCTTATGTTGCAGGACTTGAAAATGAAACTCTTGCTGTCTGGCAATGTTTACTAAGTATCTAAAGCTGAGAACACTTGGTGTCAAATAACAATGTACTCCTAATGAAAATGCTCAATCACCTTTTTTCAGGGTTGGAAGTTCATTAAATTAGAGGGGCAAGAAAGAATGCTATTCCAAATTAAACGGACATGTTGCTTACAAACATACCAGTTTGGGAAAACCTTTTGATTGTAATCCTTCTCTTCCCAATATGCCTTACCAATACACCAATGCATTCTGTAATTACACATATTGAATAAAATATTGAAAAATGAGAGTGGAGGTTGGTTTCTAAATTGAATTGGGGGCAGAGTGAGCACACACATGGCTAATAAAAACTTGGTGAGATGACCAGCCATTCCAGCTGGAGTTCACTTAAAAAAATATCGTATTTATTTATTTTTGGAGGCAGAGAAGAGAGGTAGAAAGAGAGGGAGAGAAACGTCAATGTGTGGTTGCCTCTTGTACGCTCCCTACTGGGGACCTGGCCTGCAACCCCGGGCTTGTGCCCGGACTGGGAATCAAATGGACGACCCTTTGGTTGACAGGCCCACACTCAATCCACTGAGCTACACCAGCCAGGGCCATTTTTACTTTTGCTAACAGCAAAAAAAATTTATCATTATTTGTTCAGTACTGGAAAGATGTTACTTATAAGTTCTCATGAAAAAGCTACAAGATTAGTACTATTATGACCACTCTGCAGATGAGAAAAATAAGTCAGAAGAAAGTTAGGTAAATTCCTCAAGGTTACACACCCACAGGATATAGAAATACAATTTAAAAACATGCATTTGGCTCCAAACTGATACTGTTATGAACTTTGCTACATTATTTCTTTAAGATCAGCATATCCTACAAAATATCCTAACATACTATGATTCTATTTTAAAAGGTGTAGCAGACTCTGGTTGTCTGCCTCATAAAAAAATCTGTTCTGCCTTTTTTGATTATATGGTCACATGCTTATAGACTTCCTTTACTACATTGCAGCCAGGTATATCCTGGTGTTTACATTTTCACAATGAAATATGAGCGCACATGGATTAAGCATGTTGCAGTCTAGACCATGAATCATTGACAAGTATGCTGACATTCTCTCTTTTCCCCTGTCATGGTCTGGAGTGCAGATATGTGCGTTAGAAGCCTAGAAAATTTGGTCTATAACGTTAAATACCCTTTCATATTTTAAAACATATTTTGATATTTTGGAGTCCTTTTTAAAGCAATATGCAGTAGATGTCACCTTTACTGGTATAAAACACAAACAAAATGAATAAGAATATTTAAACTTTCTCTTGAGAATTAAAGAGAGAGAGATAGAGAGACAGAGAGAAAAGGGGCTCTGAATTGAAATTTTTAAGGTATCAGTAACAATTCCTTTATTTTTAGGAGGGAATAAAAAGTGGAAATTTAACAGAAAGTTATAATAATAAACAAAGATTTCAAGTGATTATAATTTCTAGCAAAATGCCCTTTTTTATAGACTCATGAGGAGGAGCTCCATCTATGTTCACACCAGTGACATTTGATATCTGGTGTGGATTTAGTCCTATGGGTCTCCCTTTCTCTTCGACATAATACAAAAGCAAATTTTGTGTATTCTCACAATTACTAACATTTAGAGAAAGAAAGGACTTAAAGTCCCAATTCCAACTGTATATCTATCTATCCAATGATACAATTCCCTCAAAGAGAAATTAATACTAAACCCACATTTGCAACCAGAAACTTTGTCTTGTGTAAACTCTGTCCAGTATATTGTCCACTCCCTACTTCTACCTGCTCAACCATCTATTTCCATGTGCTCTGAGCTTACATGTCACCTCCACAGAGAAAGCCTGCTCTGCCACACTCTGAAGTCTCTACGATTGTTCCCCCAAAAGACTAGAGTCACGTTTGGATGTAACTGTGTCCTACCAAGTGCAGAAGCAGATGTAAGTATGTGAGCAATGGGGAAGAAAAAAGTGTGCTGTAACAATTTACATATTAACCAGCAAATTATGATTGTTCTCCACATCAGAACTTCGAACTTCTTAAAAATCTACTGGCTGTATGGTGACATCTCATTGGGACATGAATTTGCATTTTCTTCACTGTAAATGTGATTGAGCACCTTTTCATGTATTTGTTTGCGGCTTTGTTTCTCTGTGAATTCCCTGCAGCTGCCTTTTTTTCCCTATTGAGTTGTCTTTTTCATCTTGATTTGTAGGAGGTTTTTTTCATTTTTTTAAATTGTTGTTCAGTTACAGTTGTCCCACCTTTTCCCCCATAACTCTCCCCTGCCCTGTCCCCCTCCACTCCCACAGTCAATCCCCACCCCCACTGTCTGTGCCCATGAGTCCTCTACTCATGTTCCTTGGCTTGCCCCTCCCCCCCTTTATCCCCTTCTTCTTCCCTTGTTATCATGTATTTTGGAGTTTTTTGTTGGTTATGTAACTGAATGCAGGTCTACTGCTTGTTACTCTGAAAGCCAATACTCTAGAGGCAGGTGCTGATGTAAAGGAAAGTGGTTAATTTTCAGGTGCCGACCACCTGGAAGATGGGGACTCACGTCTCAAAGCCCATCTCCACCTCTCAGTGCAGGCAGAGGTTTTATAAGGAGGGAGAAGGGAACAGAACAAGGAGATCAAGGTGGGAGGGGCTGAGAAGTTCTCTTCGTGCAGATGAGCACAGTCCTCTCCAGTCAGGCAAGTGACGGTCTGGTGGCCTCATCCTGGTTTCATCATCCTGGAGTCACGTCATCCTGGCTCCGTGGTTGAAGGTCAGCAAATCTCCCGGGGCTGGGATGCCTGAAGGTCAGAGCCTGTATCTTCTGAAGTTGATTCCTAGGATTCTTATACAAACATGCTGTTTTATCTGCAAGCTACATGTTAATCAGAGTGAGCACTTACAGAAACAATGTCAAAAAATGGTGGAGTGGGTTACAATTCCCCACTGTTTCAATTTTCCACTGTTGTACTTAGGTGATTTGCAAATGTTTTCTTTCTGTGACTGCCTTTTTATTCTTTAATGGTATTTTTCTTGAAAGATGTACTTATCTTTGATGTAGTCAAACTTTGACTTTAGGGAGGTGATGGTGGGGAGTGTGTGCATGTGTGTGTGTGTGTAATACACAAACTGTTACAGCAACTTTCAAATGCTCTTTAACCTTATCTATAGAGAGGCTGAAGGTGTATACACCCTCTGACTCAGGAATTCCACTATTAGTGCATTCTGTGAGGGGGTCTTATGTACATGTGCACAAGTATTACACACACACACACAGTAATTTTCCCCCCAATTCCTATGATTAATTTGTTTGAAAAAATTAGTGCTCATCTCCAAAAATAAATTTTGGGCCCATATTCCATGACATTTAAAAATCAATTCTCAGTCAATTATAGGTGTAAAAATGAACAGTAAAGTGGCAAATATTTTAGTAAATAACACATGACTTTGGGTGGGAGAAAAATACATATCATACACATCACCATCACCACCACCATGATTACAAATAGTGGCAGTTTTATTTACTTCTTTTAGTATTTAGACTTTTTTCCTCATTTGACTAGCATACTGCCATGTAGAGAACATCCAAACTGTGAAGAATAGATGTAATAAAAATGGTATCTCTGTCTTCTTAGCTACGATACGGAGGAATGACTTAACATCTAAATATGTTTGCTATAATTTTGGTAGGTATCTTTTTAAATTGAATTAAGGAAGCTTCCTTTTATCTTTGGTTTGATGGAATTGGATGACAAGATTTATCATAATTTTAATTTTCATCTATTCAGATGATCATCTAATTTACTTCACTTTAATTGTATCATTCAATGTGAGTTATTATTTAAACATAAGTAGACTTCTCAGGATAGACCAAACTAGGTCATGATGTTTTAGCCTTGCTTTATACTGCTGAATTTTGATTTAGAAAATTTGCCTTTATGTTTATAAGTGATATAAGCTTTTTAATTTTTTGTGTGCTGTTTGGTCCCTTTTTGGTATAAAGGATCTACAGTGCAAGTAATGATTTGGTTAGTGTGTCTTATATTTTTTTATATGCTGAAAGAATATGTATAAAATTGCAATTATTTTTTACTGGAATGTTTGTAGAAATGACAATAGAAGCATCTCTGGCCTGTGATCTCTTTGCAGGAAGACTTCTTTCTCACCGATTCCATTTTGATAATAGTTGTGAGAAGTTTCTAGGTGCTTATTTCTTCCTCGCGTCAGTCATGGTAACTTACATCTCATAGAACTTGTTTGTATCACTCAGCTTTTATTTATATAACATCGTTCATATCTTCTTATAGTTTGACTGTTTACAGGTTTCCTAATAAATAGTCCTTCTAATTCCCAATAGAGAGTTCTTTATGCATTCTATTTTATTTATATTTATTGACCCATTGTTTCAGGCATGCATCATTTCTCATGGGAAAGAGAATAACCTTCCTTATCGATCTTTAATAAAAGTCTGCTTACCATAAATTGAGTCAGTTTTACTTTGAGAAAGTATTTTGTGTTCCTTTTGGAAACATTTTGACTGGGGAGAGAATTCTGGTTTGACATTCTTTTTCATTCGGTGCTTCATAAATGTTATTCCTTTTCTAACTGGCATCGTTTCTAGGAAAAAGTGTTCTGACATCATGCTTTTTGGTCTTCTCTAGGTAACATTTCCTTTTTTCTCTCTAGATGTTTAAGATTTTTTCATAATATGTGGGTTTAATAAATTTGGCTATGGTTGAATAGCTGTAATTTGGTTTGTTATTCATTCTATATGGAGTTCTCAGAACTTCATTTTGGAATAATTCTGCATCTTTTAAAATTCCCTTTTCTATTGTGCTATTCCAGTGGTATACATATTACATATTCTGATATGGGTTTGCCTTTTGGGGTAGCTCTAATAGACAGTGCCCCCTCCCTCAGACACACTCCTTAAAATTTAACAGCCTCTTAACTTTGTCCTGTGAACTCTCTGATACACAAGAAATGCTAATAGAAAAATATGAAGCCAGGAAGAACTTTATCCCATTTATAAATAGGACCTGAAGAGGCTTTAGAGTGAGATCGTGTAATGTTGAGACCTGAAACTGGTCAAAAATTTTAAATTTCTTCTAATTTACCTACATATGAGGTCTGTCCAAGAGGTATCCAGCCATGTAATATGAAAAATAGAGACACTTATTGAAGAAGATATGAAAAACATTATACTTAAGGCAATATTACCTCAGTCCCCTTCAAAGTAGACACCTTGGAACCATACACAGTTCTCCCACTTGCCATCAGCTATCTTGTCATATTTTCCTGTATCTCACTGATGTTCCAAAATCTCTTCCCTTTCAAAGGTGATTTTAGTTTTGGGAAAATCCAGAAATCACAGGGCACCAAATCTGGGCTATAAGGGGGCTGAGTCACCTGGGTGATTTGATGTTTCACCAAAAAACTCCACATATGAGAAGTGATGCATGAGCAGGTGTTGCACACTCTGGCCGGCAGAGTCTGCCTGTTGTGACTGAAGATGAAAACAAATGCACAGGCTACAGCAATCCTGTGGAGGAAAAGGGGATGGCATGGCCACTCTCTCTCTCAAGGGGAGAGCACCTCTGAGTGTCTCGACCACTCTCTAAGAGGAAAGCTCCTGGACTCTTGCCTAGACAGGCTTTTATTGTCTTCCTGGGGTCTTATATCACAGAAAGATTTATTATCTATTACATAGAATATTGTTGTCTACATTTTAGGTACAATCAAGAAAATGAAAATAACAAATGCAGAAGGGAAAGGTGGTGAGATGATTTTGGGAAAATTCACACAGGCTTTGGAAACTACCTTGAAGATAGGCAATAAACATGTACTGTTTCAGACCAGGGTGAGGGAGTTTTAGCAAAAGCAAGCTATAATAGTTTGTATGCATTTTCTAGGCCTGATTCCCATGGGAAAACCCAGTTTGAGGGTCTGGCTCCTGCCCACTACATCACTCCTGTAGGTTTTCCATACAGGCTGAGTCACATTTGCTAGATTCAAAACAAACCAGTCCCCTATAAGCAGGTGCATTGTCATGATGAAGCTGCCACTCACCAGTTAGTTGCCCATAGCTGTGGACTTCCAAATCATCCGAATAGTTTCTGCAAAGGAATGTTCAAGCTTAATGCAAAATTTGATGCAGATTTGTTGCTGTACTGAGTCAGTCATTTTGAATGTGACAGAAACACAGTACACATGCTCAGTCAATGGTGTCTACCACCCTGCTGACTAGTACAGTGAAATCATCACTATTCATGCATGTGTATTCCAGTCCACTGTCCTTGGCTGCCTGAACTATGACTGTTCTCCACCTGTCATTCTTTCCCAGATCTGACTATCTGGGTATCAGATGTGACAGCACTCAACCTTTGATCTTGCAGATGTCTATAATATCTTAGTGGGTATGGAACAACAGAATAGAAGGAACCTGGATCCCTGAATGACTCTGTGGAACTTACAGTGGTGGGACTGTAATATGCCTTCTCAGCTGCTATCACCAGATGCTAAAAGATCTCGATCTGTAATATCCTCAGTGTAGTCCCCTCTACTCCTGCTATCAGAGAAATGGTATTCAAACATGGCTATGAGCATGTCTAACAAGCTTCACAGTCTCTGCTTGCCTGTGCAATGCAGTCCATAATCCAGTTCCTAATTAATCTTTCCACATTATTCTCAATGAACCCATTATACTGGCTGCACTAGACCAGACTAATTCCTAGCACCTAGTCCCTACTTCTGTATATTTGCTCATTCACTTACTTTGTGTCAAAATATTATTCTTCCAATCACTCTTTGTTTAAAGTGAGTCATTCTTTAAAACCCAACAAAAATAGGACCTTTTCTGTGATGCCATCTCTAACCTTTCCCAATATAATTAACTATTGCTTTTGTAGAGGCAAGCACTTTACCTGTAACATCATTTAAGCATCCATCACTTTTGGCTTTATTTTATATTTGTCACCTTCAAGGTATAGACTGTCCAAAGGCGAGAACCTCACTTTCTTCATCTTCAAATTTGCAAAGGTGATGGGCTTCACAGTTGTGTTATCTGTACCAAGTGAAATGCACCACCATGTGTTGCAGAAAAACAATCGCATTGCTCAAATTAAAAACACCAAATAAAGACAAATTATAAAAATTATCTAACAATATCACACAATAAGAATACACTTTAACTCTGAGAACAGGAAGTCTGGAATATAAACTCATCTTAAAAGATGAACATTCTAGTAAAAATGTGATTGGAAATATTATAACACATATTTAAAGAAATAAAGGAATTTTTTTCAATTTTCAATATATTTTCTGATATTGAAGTCAATATAACAGTTTTCCTGGAACAAGGTTTTCATTTTAGTAATGTATTTTTGATAATGCTATAAAAATGAATCTCTAATATCTAGCTATTGTGGCTTAGTTTTTACCATGTGAAAGAACCAATTTCACCAAACCAATTGATGAGAGTGGAGTTAACACTTTATTATCTTTGAAACCAACTCAGAATATTCTAGGCAGAGAAAGATGGGCAGCGAAGCCAGCCCCAAACTGTGCCAGTGACACAACTGCTGTTCATGTTAACCCAGAAGGCCACCGATGGAGCAAGTGACTGATTTATTGTACAGTTTTTGGTCTGTAGTTTAATACAGTGGGACGCTTTAAAATTATATGTCTATTTTTCTCTGAGTTAATGCTCATATGTAGGGAAGACCTTAATAGAGAGCTGAGAGGAAATATTTATGGCATTGCCAGCTTTTACAAATGTGTCGATGATTGTGATTTTTTTGCTCACTTTGAATAAATATTCACTTTTGAGTTTGTAATTTTATATTATTTTATTTCAAGCAAACACTCAAAATTTATATACTCAGGACCTTTATAATCCCAAGCCATCTCACACACACACACACACACACACACACACACACACACACACACACACACGTCAAAGAGTAAACTGCGAAATAGCGATTATCTCTGGACTGCAAATTTGTTAATGAAAAATAACAAGAATACTTAAAATGAGAGAAGGAAATGAAATAGTCTAAAAAAACGGAAACAAACAAAACACTCAAACCGTCCCCAAATGGGCCCCCCCCTTTACTCCTGCCAGCCTGCTGTGAGGGGCTCACTTTCACCCCGGGCTCTGTGCTCAATGTGGGGTGTGGAAGAACCGGGGATCGTCCGCCTGGTTTCACCCCCGCCCTGGGACAGCTAATCTCCATAAACAAACAGGAAAACCCTAAGTAGTTAAAACAACTAACACACGTGTCCTTTCGATTTTGTTCTCCTCGACCTCACTCTTAACCTCCTGGCTGTAACATCTGCTCGATTTTCAGCTGCTAAAGTCAGTCGGTACCCAGAGGACCCAGGCTCCAGAGAAGCGCGCGAGGACAGAGCGAGAACAGCTGAGAGAACTTGGCCCCTGTCGGTGGCACCCTCACCACGTAAGTTTCTCCCGGACCAGGTCTCACACATACATATTTGTAAAACAACAAGCGCACATCCCACACTAGAGGTGCGGGGTCTGCAGGCACCGTCAGGCAGGGAAGCAGCGGGAGGTGGGCGCCAGAGGGGGAAAGCCCTTTGCTCCCGGCTTGTCTGCCTTTGCGCTGGGAGAGCGCCCAGTGTGTCTCCGGGAGGCGCTGCTTTACCTCGGGCACCTACTCATGGCTGCGCCAAGAGCCGTGCATTGGTGAAGGGTTGCCCCTTATATCATCTGTGAAGAGGTGCCGAAGTCCTCTCCGGGACCGATGGACTAAACCCTACGCCCCGCGCAGAGGTGCTGGGTGGAGTGGCTTCCTCCCTCTCTTCCCTGCTCGTTTCCCACTTTTTCTAACTGGCCCCTGCTAGACACTGGATAAACAGAGAGAAAGGGTAGTTCTCAGCATAAACTGTAATATTTAACAATTCTTTTTGTATTCACCATATTTAGTATTTGAAAAATTCTAACAAGCTCCATTTGTATAAAATAATTCACTCTCAGTCTATTTAACCTACTGTTAAGAGTAACTATAAGGACTAAGCTTTTTCCCCCCTGCACTGCTTCTGAATGTTTGGGTTCTACAGGAGGGGAAATGACATAAATTACCTTTATTTTCAGGTTTATATTTTTGCTTCATTTCCTTTCCATACACTAGCAACAGGAAAGTGGGAGCAGGAAAGGGAGCAAGCAGGGTGGGAAACAACTGGGGGCTCCTGCTTGGACACACTGACCCCAGGGGCCTGGGGCAGAAATGCTGACGTATCAACTTTCTTTTGCCTGCAGCTCGGTCTTGAGCTTAAACCCCTCAACTTCTGAGTCACCATGGTCTCTGAGGAATGGAGTGGTGAGGGCACCTGTAGCCTGATGGTCTGCACTGCCGGTTTCACTTGTGGCTTTAGTTCTGGAAAATAGCTGGGAGGTGACAGCCTTGCAGCATGTCACATAGCCAGCTCAGTGGCAAGTGGAGTGGAAAAGACAGCTGCATGGAGAGATGCAAGATTTGGCTTTTATTGTACATTTTTTGGGGGGGGGGGATCGACGGTGGGGAAAGGTGAGGACAGTTTCTTCATCCATGTTCCTCATTTGAGTTTGCATTAGGATGGATTTATCACTGATATTCAATCTTGACTCCGCAATGGATTAGATTAACCTCCTGTACTCTGTTTTGGCATCAAGAGCAGACTGGTTCAGAGACCTCCGGCTGCCGTTATTTACTGGAGGGAAAACCAGTAAAAGGGAGCCCAAGCACAAATGGACTGCCTAAAGACAACAGCCTCACCCCCATCCTCAGTCACAGCCTTAAAAGTTGGAAGACATGCAATAGCTGTAAATCATTATTCAGGCCCAAGCTTTCTTTGGACTCCTTGGGTAGCTTCTTTCTTGGTAAGTCCTGAAAATTGGAAAGGAGCAACTCAGCACTTTCTGGAAAATAAGGAGTTCTTGCTTCTCCCTAGTGAAATCCTACGGCAGGCATGTCCAAGAGTTACGCAGGCCCAACTGAGGGCAGTTTGGTTCTGGGTCTTTCCACAAGTACCTTTTTCAAACAGTTACATGGGTAATGCAGAAACTGAGTGGTGTTTTGTTATTCTTCATTGACCTTTCATTAATATATACTTTTTATTGGCCTATGGCATACATCTATTTCTTGATTTTGGTGTACACTTCTATTCTGAAACAAATCAGTCTCCCAGTGACACAATTTTCCTATGTGGGATGATTTGTGAACTCTGGGCCAGGAGGATTTTGATGACGTCTCAAAAAGGATGAAAATCAAAAGCTATTTCTCTTCTGGAACCAAAAAAATTCCTTCAGTCCTTGAATATTATAAATGGTTCTATAGATACTACATTTCATTGATCTGTCATGTCAAACTGGAATTGTCAATTTGAAAACCAAAATTTTGATGAATACTTGCCCTACTCATCACTAGTTCTATAGGTGTTCTCAACAACTAGGACCACGAGACAGAAGAGATGCATGCAATCTGTGTCTTAACAATTTATGGCTGTGCCCCTAGGTCATCCTAGTGCCAGGTCATTCCTCAGGACCGGAAGCCTCACTGCCTTAGGTCTTAAGAGAGGACAATGGATGAGGTGGTGATTTTGCTTCTCACAATGATGACCCTGCCTTGGATGGGGCCATGATACTGCATTTTAAGATGTGGCTGTCCTGACACAGCAATGACATTCAACCTGAGATCCTCATGGCATTTAGAGCACTTTGGCCCTTGCAGAAAGTCACTATAAGGGCAGAACCAAAAATTGATGAATATTTTTATTGTAGGGCCTACTTTATGTTTACTGTGGGAGGAATATAGCAGGAAAGAACAATGAAAACTTAGAGACTGCCAAAGTGTTGCCTAGCTATGAAAACCTTTATGGAGAAGTGCAAGGTGGTGATCATCACTGCTACTGTCGGAATGGTGATTGGAGACCTCCCTCCAGGAGGAGCGTCGATATTAGCATTTCCTCATTTTGTGTCTCTTTCCCCTCAGTGTCCCTGAGACATAATGGATAGAGTTTCTACCAGGACCAAATTGCGAGCTGTTGAGTGGGCTAGCCTTAGAAGTCATCAAGGCATAGATGGACTTTAGAAGCAAAAGGGCCAAGCATTTACAGTTACCCAAGTCTTGCTTTGGTAAAGAACTTCTTCTTTTGTCAGTCTGTGGCTTAGACAACAGACCTGCCTTTAGTCCTTCAAGTCCCTGAGCTATGCACATGAAGTTGACCAAGGAAAAATCTCGTATTAATATTTAGAGCTTGGAATAGCTGAGATTTTCTCAAGGCCCTTCTCTGCCAATTTGCTTCATGGAATGAAGCAAATATTCATGGAATGAATATCTCATTAAATGTAAATACATGGCCAATTATAATACCTGGTGGTATTGTAACAGTAGGCTGTCACTGCACTTTTTGATTTCAACTATATTTAAGAGACCAAGTCATTAAAACATTAGTCTAAAAGCTGATATTTTTAGCTATGATTTGAAAGTTCACATTTTGTTTCATATATAATTTAAAAGTTTAATGATTAAAATGATTAATTTATGTTTTTGTATACACAATGTATAAAGGTATTTTTTAATAACAACAACTAAAAATGTAGAAATAGAGCTATAAAGGAGAGAGTTTTTTATATATTTTTCAAGTTAAACTGGTGTAAATTTAAATTAGCATGTGAAAATTTTAGGATGTTAAATATAATCTCCATGGTACCCACAACAATAATAGCTATAGAATATATAAAAAAGAAAATGATTGGGGAATTAAATTTTTTTAGTACAAAAGAGTCAACTAAACATGAAAGAAGACAGTAATACAGGAAATGAAAGATTAAAAATATGAGACAGAGAAAAAATAACAAAATGATAGAAGTAATTCCTCTTTATCAATAATAACCCTAAATATAAGTGAATTAAACTCTACAATGAAATGATGGAATGGTGGAATTTATTTTAAAAATTTCATGATAAAAGTATATGCTGCCTACAAGAGATTTACTTTAAATTTAAAGACACAAATAGTCTGAAAGTGAAATTGTGGGAAGAGATATTTTATGAAAATAGTAA